GTCTGAGATTTCGGAAATTTCTGTGTTATCTTCATCATTATTCTGTTGGCCTGCAGACATAACTCGTTAAAAACTTATTTCATGACGATAAGCAGTGACAGCTTGTGACATATTTGTCTGTTTTGAAGAGTCATCAGTTATTGCCATCAAATGATGCGTTAAGTTTTGAACGTGCTCAAATGAATACTTTGTCTGTTTCCATGCCTCAAAAGGCGTCCTTGCAAATTCCTCTAACGCAACTAAACGGGCGTTTCTGTCTGCTTTGGCACAAACTACGTAAAATCTGTCCGGGAGCGAAGATTTGCGTAAGCTTACAAAGAAAAAAGGTGACGCTATTTCGATGAAACAATTAAATACAAACTTGTTATCATTTTCGTGCATTGCTTGCAGCCACTAAGCGTTCATGTGAGAGTTTCATTAGAGTCTCCACGATAAAAAGCACAACAATTTCATTCTTTTCGCAACACGCACCTCACACTTCATTACAAAACTTAGGGCTGTAACCGTTCGAGCATAGTCTCCATATTCAAACTCGTTATCCAATATAATCATCGTCTTGCCAGCAAGATCCTTCATTAATGTAGTAGGTTCGCTCGAAAAAAGGGTTGGTATGGGTCTTGTGAAACCGAAATGACCCATTTGCGATATATCCCATACAAAGAATCGGAGGCCGAGCTGTTGCTTGAGCAGGTCAGCCCAGGCCATGTATTCATCGCGCGCTCTGATTTGATGTATTAACGCATATCAGTAATAGCTCACTTATCCGTGATATGAGATGTCTCTTGTCAAAGTACTAATTAATATTGCTCACGTTTTATGGTTCGTCACTAGTAGTACGTCCGGATAAAAGCCTGCAGGGAAACCGCGGTAAATCGTGGACACTCTGACATTAAAAGATTGAATGTGAACAACGTTCGGCAAAGAGGGTGCTGTGATCTGAAATTGACGCACAATTCAGTGTTGTCATTAATCCAAGACAGTCTCATTATAAAAAAGTAGCAACGTCCAAAAATTCGAAGCATTCTCGTTTCGCATCCACACCTGTCCAAGTTCCAGATATATCCAAAATTCCGCATATTCAAATATCTCCGCTTCACTTAACTCTAAACTAGCTTCCAATTGTAAGGTCTGGCCAGCTCTTAACAAAGGAATTTCAAATATATATTCTCTTTCCAAAGTCTGCACTGGAGGGACGGTGGCGACACCTTGTTGTTCCGTTTTCAAGCCAAATTTCAAGGCAGAACGCGAAACTTCGCCGGCCTTCTTCTCTAGCCTGACACGAATACGACGTCCGTTTGGAGCGAGGGCACCGAAATCAACGTTAGATGTGTTCTGCACGCCCCATTTGACTTTGGCTGTTTGACCGACCACCTAAGTTTAAATTTAGACAGATATGGTAATCAAGAAATAATAGGGTATATACTACACAAGCTAAACCATACCATAGAATTCAAGTGCGAAATATGCGTAAACTCAATAGGATATTGAATGTTGATTACACGACCTTCGATATCGAAAGCTGGAAATGTCTTTCTAAGCCCAGTCATGGTCGCTGTTAGCCGCAACAAGTCAGTTGCTCGAAGAGGTGGTCCTAATATTCAAAAGTTTAATGTCTCAATCATGAATCGATTCGAACGATCGAGATAAGCCTACGATCATACCTGGCTGATCCACTTTATGCTTCCTGAGAAAGAACGAAAGTGGTTGTTTACAGTCAAATTCTAGAGAAGTCTGTGGAGCAATCAGTTGCGGCAACGTTGTATAGTCCATCTCCTCCTTGTTGGTAATCCATACGTTGTCATTCACATTAACGCAGATATCTCCTATTCAT